CCCCCGTCCCCGCGGTGACGCTCTGCCCCCCGTCCCCCCCACAGCCCTGGAGCAGCAGTGTGATGAGCACCGCCGTCGGGCCAAGGAGCTCAAGCACAAATCTCAGCACCTCAGCAACGTGCTCATGACGCTGACGCCCGTCTCCCTGCCGCCCCCCACGAAGCGGCCCCGGCTGGCAAGGGCCACGTCCGGGCCGGCTGCCATAGCCTCGCAGGTGCTCACCCAGTCTGCCCAGATCGCCCTCAGCCCTGGCGTGCCCGTCTCCCAGCTGACCGGCGTGCCGCTCGGCAAAGTGGTGTCCACCCTGCCCTCCCCCGTGCTGGGCAAGGGCCCCCCCCAGGCTGCTCCTGCCAGCTCGCCTGCCTCGCCGCTGCTGGGGGGCTACACGGTGCTGGCCTCGTCGGGCGCCGCCTTCCCTGGCACGGTGGAGATCCACCCGGACGCGTCCAGCCTCACGGTCCTGAGCACGGCCGCCATGCAGGACGGCAGCACTGTGGTCAAGGTGCTGAGCCCCCTGCAGCTGCTCACCTTGCCGGGCCTGGGCCCCACCCTGCAGAACGTGGCCCAGGTGTCACCTGGGGGCAGCACCATCGTGACAGTGCCCACGGGGGCCGTCGAGAGCGCCATGGCCGCCTCGGGGCCCGAGGAGCACACGGCCACCATTGAGGTGGCTGCCCTGGCGGAGGGCCGTGAGCACAAGTAGACGCTGGTGGAGGGCGAGGCCCCTCGTGGGCACAGGGCTGGCCGCCTCTCCTCAAGCCGCGGCTGGGCGGGGGCACGTAGCCCCGGCGCCCCGCGGGTCACGTTGGGCTGAACCAAAGAGAGGAAACACCAAAACAGACGAGGAGCAGAAGGGATCTCAGACGACAGACCTGTGTAGCCAGCCTCGCACTCGCACGCCCTCCCCCTTCTTTCTTAGGAAGTACATTTTTCCATCTGTTGCTTATTGATACTGTTTACACGTTGGGCCTGATCAGGAGCCAGGCAGAGAGGACGAGGAGGCAGAGCCGGGGAGCGGGGCCCGGACCCCGTGGGTGCGAGGGGCCCCTGGGGGGCCTGAGCCGGCTGGGGGAGGGGGTGTCACTAACACATGTCTTGGGAACCGTCCCCAAGTGTGGAAACCCATGGATCCTATGGATTTGGTTTCTTCCCACAGTTTTCTGTAGGTTTAGTGTGGCCCGGCACCCTGTTCTCCCATCTCTGGAACAGGCCTCGGTGCTGCCGCTGGTCCCCACACGGCTCTGGGCTGGGGCTCCCGGGCACCCGCCTGCGCAGAGGGCCAGGGGGCCCCAGTAGCATGAGCTTGCCGTCTGCTCACCTCCTTGTACCCGGCAGGGGCCGTTGCACACGCACCGTGGGTGTCTTTAAGTGAATTGTTTAGTAGGCTTCTAGGAAGAGTCAGATTTATAGCATTTTCAACCTAAGCAACGCTGAGTGCCTAGGCTCCCCGAATTTGCTCTGGGTTCCAGAGTGCTTTGTACAAGCAGTTGTCAGGACGGCCCGCGGGGGACTGTGTGTGCTGGTGGTTCCTTCTGCTCTGGCCGTGAGCTCTTGGCACCGGCAGGCCACCCAGGGGAGTGTGACGGTGGGTGTGCCCCTGGGGCCTTGGTTCCGGGGTTAGGGGGTGAACAGAACAAGCCAGGAACTGAGGAGGATCTGCATGGGCCGAGGGCTCATTGTCAACCCCTGTGCTCAGCCTGTTGGCGGGGCCATCGTAACAGCCTTAGCACTTAGCCCCCCGAACTCCCTATGCCCCCTACCTGGAGGTGGAGGTGTATTTGGGGTGACGGCCCAGTAGTCTGGGCCAGGGCCAGTCAGGGTGGGGCCCTCCGTGGGCCACGTGCAGCTCTGATTTCGGACGCAGGAGGGAGAACAGGCAGGGGTCCCCTGAAGGCCTGGAGCCGTCTCCGGCAGGGCCCCAAGGCCCGTCCGAGCCCTTGAGTGGCAGGCCCCCTCAGACCTGCCAGTTCTGTTGCTTGCTGAACACCCTTCTCTGGGAGAAGGGGGGGGGCTTCAGAGACAAGACGCTGCCCCACTTTGTGCTTCGAAGGGAACCGAGTTCTGTGTGTCCGTCCTTCCATCCGTCAGGTGCCCCAGACCTACCGGAGCGGGCCTCGCCCCCCGAGTCAAGCCACCGACCGAGGTGGTCTCTTTCTGTTTTCTTTCTGTTGCGTACATGTTTGCTGTTCTCGTGGGTCAGCTGGTTTCAGCATGATGTTTCCTTGCTGGTGTACGTGCTCATCTTCATGGTGTCCTGATGCCTGAGGCAGTGTGATCCCCGGGGGTGGGCGCCGCCCCGCCTGGCCCTTCCTGTCCGTCTGCACCAGCTCAGACCATAGGTGAAACCACGTGGCTGATAAAACCGTGTCTTGTCCTTGGAGGCTTTGTCACAGTCAGCCGCTGCCCTGCCCTCAGACCGCAGGGGTGCTGGGGGGAAGTGCATGTCAGAGCCATAGAAACAGAAGCCACAGCCCCGAAATAACTGCAGCACGCCCCCCCTTCCGCCCGGGCTGGGGGGCAGACACCTGTGCCTGGCAGGGCCCCAAGCGGGGAGGGTTCCTGGGGCTCTGTCAGTGCGCCCGCGCCTTCCAGTCCCCCAGGGCGGGTCTGCGGTGGCTTCTGGGGAGCAGGACTGGATTGGGTTTTTCTCGCGGTGCCGAGCGCCGGCTCAGAGGCAGCCTGGGGAAGGGAAGCATCCGGGTTCTACTTTGTATGTTGTTTTGCAAGTATCTGCTTGGTACTTTGATTTACAGTAAAAACATTTTTCATAATGTGTGTCTGAGTCTTGTGATGAAAGCTTGTGTCGGGGGGGTCAAGTTCGTGTGGGCCTGTGCCCGCTGCAGACGGCGCTCTGAGCGAGTGCTCGGGGGCCCCAAGGCCCTTCCTCTGTCCTGAGGTCAAAACTATCTTCACGTCAGCACCGGCTGCCGGGCCTTCCTCCCCGCCTCCACCCTGTGCAGCGTTGACGCCCATGACTGCTGGGCCCTGGCCCTCAGAGTGTGTGCGAGTCCGCACCTACAGAGGTGGTCAGGTTTAGCTCGTCCCGTGGTAGCATTGCAGCAGCCCACGTGCAGGAGCCTCGGGGCCCCGCGTGCGAGGGGTTCCCGGGTGGGAATGCAGGGCCACCATGCGGAAGTGGAGCGGCCCCCCTGCCCTTTCCCATGCGGGAGATTGAACCACTTGCCAAGAGAGGGTGGCAGAGCCAGGCTGTGATCCGGGCTCCCTGCCCCTGGTTGGGAGCTGCTGCTGGGACAAGGAGGAGCAGAGGCGACCCCCAGGCAGCTGGGGAGGCCTGCGGGGAGAGGGAAGGCCTGTGTGGGCTCCCCGGAAGCGGGGCGTCCTCTGCAATGGGTCTGAGGGGCTCATTTGTGTCCTCGATCTCTTGCCCGCCACAGCCCTTTCTAGGAAGTCCCTGGACCACCGTGCCCCCTGCTAAAGATGCTTTGAAGGCTCCCCACTCCTCTCAGGAGGAAACCAGCCCCCCCGTACCAAGGGCCCCTCCTCGCCCTTGTTCCTGGTGAGGCATGTGGGGCGGCTCTGCAGCCACCCCCCCTTTGTGCATACCCCCCCCCCGGAGCACCGCAAGCCCAGTGGGCAGCGGCTCCCCACTCCTGCGTGCTCAGCTGGGGAGCAGCGGGGGCAGGAGTCTGCCCCGGGGACATCCGCTAATTGAGCACTGCTGAGCTTGGAGGCTTCTGCTCGTGGCTCTCTGTCCTGTGGCTTGGGCGCCACCCCACTAGAAGTGTCACGGGGATATTAATGAGGGGCACAGCCCTCCCCCGGGGCAGAGGGGACAAGAGGGGGTCCAGGCAGCGTCAGTGCTTGGCTGAGCGACCTGGAGAGACCACTGCCGGAAACTGGGCAGGAGGGTCACTCGGTGTTGTAGCTCCCATGGATTTGGACAAACCTATAAAGACGCATTTTACTCGATCACCGCGGTGTCTCACTGTTTGCACTGCCCCAAGGCATCCGCCCTGCACCTGCTGTTCAACCCCTGGCCCCACCCTGAGGACCACACAAAGTAAAACTCTGGTTGCAAATCCCATTCGAAAAAGCTTGAAAAACACTCTTTGTGCTAGATTCCCTCTTTTGTTAAGTAATGTTCCTTCCTATATCTATTTATTCTGTGGGTGGTTTTCTTTTCTTTTTTCTTTTCTTTTCGCCTTAAATTCTAGATCGTCTGAAATTAATATTGCTATGTCAGCCTTTATTTATTTATTTTTGGTGGGTAGATGCCCGGCATACCTTTTTCCTTTTTCATCTTTGACCATATTGTGCTTTTGTGTTTTGGTGCATCTCTGGTAAGTAGCAAATAGTTGCATTACTCTCCTTTCAAAATCCAATCTCAGATTCTCAATCTCTTAATAGAATGTAGTCCCTTTACATTTATTGTAATTACTGGTACATTTGGATTCAGTCTCTTACCAAGTTGTCTTAGGGACTGAAGTGTTGGTGAGGAGTTGTTTTGACTTTTGCTTCCTTCTGGGTTGGCTCTCCCTTTTCTTTCCTTCCTTTTCCCTCCCGTGTGGATAACTCAGCTCTCTTCTGTGTGGTGGCTTTAAAACACACCACTGTCACGTCAGGGTCACCACTTGCCGGGAATGGCCAGCAGTCCCTGTACCGACAGATGAAAGGTGACTCCAAACTTTGCTGTGAAAGAGAGGAGCGGGCAAGGGGGTCAACGCTCAGAGACGAAGACCCTTTGCTCTTCTTTGCTGCCACTTTTGTTGGTCCTTCAGGATAATCACAAATCCTTATCAGTGTTTCTCAAGCATGTGATGTGTGACAAGGGGTCTTGAACTGGGAGGATTAGCAAATATGCGTGTTCTACGAGTTCTGCTAAACATAGCCTAGGGGACAATGCACACATCTCTTTGATCCCAGGGCGGCTGTTCCGGCTGAGAAAGCTTCCGGGAAGGCAACTCCCCACGGTATTCCAACCGCAGAGTGGTCAAGCAGGCCTCAGCATTCCAAAGGCCCACGCCTTCTCCGAAACCTTCCCTGCCCCCAGTGGCCTCGTGTTACATTTTAGCAAGCCAGGTATTATGGCTGATTTCCTGCTCTACATTAACAACAACATCTCGCCCTTTCTGTTTCTTTAAAGCGGCAGCAAGTAGTTTTGAGACAGCTGCGCTGTGTAGATATGCTTCACATCTCCGGCGGTGGATAGGGCTTTCGTTCCGATTCTGCAGACTATGATGAGAAGAAAAACAGTAATTACTACAATAGCAACTCCTCCCACAGAAGTTGGAGTCGGACTTCCCTCCCTTTGCTGTGGGCTGGCCTTAGGGACTCACTTTGAACGACCAGGACGGGGCATAGGGGCCGCTGCAGTTCCAGCCCCCAGCCCACGTGCCAGACCTGGAGGGCGGGGCCCCAGATGACCCCAGCCAAAGAACATGAATCTCCTGGCCGAGGCTCTGGATGTTATGGAGCTGGCCCCTGGTCCAGGTCCTGAGCTGCAGACCTCGTGAGCATAATAAATGGTTGTTTTATTTCACTGAGTTTGGGGGTCATTTGTTATGCAGCCGCATTCCCTGGGACCTACTGTGTCTTCATCAGCTTCTCTCCATCTGAGCCACGTCTGGGTCCTACTCTCTTTTTGGTGGCTGGAGGGGCCAGACCTGGGGAAGGGGCCATCCTGTGGTTTCCTGTCTGTCGGAACGGCTGAGCTGGACACTCTTCTGCAAGACAGTTTTGCCGTGGCCCTGGCCAGGACCTGTGGATTTCCAGGTCAGATTCCACATGACTTCTCCCTGCTTAGGGTGCCCGCACCACGAGAGGAGGATGAATTCGTGTGCCACTGACCTGGTATTGTAATAACTTCTCTGTTCTTGAACTTCATCTACATGGAGTCATGCATTAACTACTCTTTGGGGTTGGCTGCTTTCGCTCAACAGAGCGTACTTGGGATCCATCCGTGCTCTCGTGAGCATCGGGGGCAGTGCCTTGCTTCCTGAGCGGCATGTCATTATACACACATGCCACAGTCTGTTTATGCCGTGGCCCGACCATGAACGTTTGCGTTGTTTCCAGTTCTTGACTACAACGAAGAAAGCCGCGGGGAACCCGCAGGCCCCAGTACAAGGACGGCCACCACCTCCTGCTGGCTGCAGGCGCTCCGCCGACCCAGGCTTCGTTAAGAACGAAGATGTGGGGCACGGTTGGTTGAGCATCCAGCTCCTGGTCTCCGTTTAGGTCCTGATCTCAGGGTCGTGAGATGGAGCCGCGCATCAGGCTACATGCTGGGCATGGGGTCGGCTTGAGATTCTTTCTCTCCCTCCCCCCGCCGCCCCCCCACACGCACATGCACACGCACACGAGAATGAAGACGCAGGTTGCTCTCTCTTGGGTAGACACCTAGAAGCAGAATTGCTGGCTCATAAGCAGGTGCTCATTTAACTGTGTCAGAATCCGCCCAACTGTCTTCCAAAGTGGCGGTACCACCTCACACTCCCACCAGCACTGTCAGAGGGCCGGCTGAGGTCTCTCCACAGCTTCACCAGCGCCACGGATTTCCAGTGTTCTCAGACTGGCCGTCCTGTGCTCCCAGCGGCGTCTCACTTGATTTGCATTTCCCTGGTGACCAGTGATGTTGGGCACCTTTCTAATGTGCTTGTGGTTATTTGCATCTTTTCCTATATGAAGTGTGTGTTCAAATATTTTGTTCATTTAAAAAAATATTTTATTTATTTATTTGATAGAGCATGAGCAAAGGCAGAGGGAAAAGCAGACTCCCCTCTGCGCAGGGAGCCCGACGCGGGGCTCGATCCCAGGACCCTGGGATCATGACCTGAGCCAAAGGCTGATGCTTCACTGACTGAGCCACCCAGGCGCCCCTATTTTCTTCATTTTTAAGAAGAGTGCTTTAAAAATACCGAATTTTAAGATTAAAAAGGTAATCTGCATGCAGCTCTTCATCAGATATGTGTATTTTGAATATTTTCTTTCAGTCAATGGCTTGCTTTTTCATTTTTCTCACTAGTGTCTTTGGAAGAATAGAGATTTTTGAAACTTATGAAATCCAGTTTATCAACTTTTTTCTTTTCTTTTTTAAAGAAGATTTTATTTATGGGACGCCTGGGTGGCTCAGTCGTTGAGCATCTGCCTTCAGCTCAGGTCACGATCCCAGGGTCCTGGGATCGAGCCCCGCATCGGGCTCCCGGCTCAGCGGGAAGCCTGCTTCTCCCTCCCCCACTCCCCCTGCTTGTGTTCCCTCTCCCACTGTGTCTCTCTCTGTCAAATAAATAAATAATCTTAAAAAAAAAAAGATTTTATTTATTTTATCAGAGAGAGAGAGCGTCCTCCTGCCCCTGCACCAGCAGCTGGAAAGCCTCCCCTTTCGAGGGGCCTGGCTGTGGGTCAGTCCTGGGTGCTCTCCTGACATTTGCAGGGACACGGTGGCCAGTAGCCCACACTTCTGGATTGCAGAGGGCTTCCCATATCCCCCCAGCCTGCCCAGTGCCTGCCATGCAGTCAGCGTTCCTTGTCCTGAACTTGCCCTTTCCACGACCAACCCCTCTGACCACACCAGGTCCTGGAGGCAACGGGTGGCTGGGGACTGGACCTCACCTGGGAGGTGACAGGGCAGGCTGGCTGCATGCTGAGGAGGGAGGCCCAGAGGTCAGGCACGTGGACTTGAGCCTCTGGCCATGTCTGTGTTTCTACAGAGGAGATCTAGGACTCTGGCCTCTGAGGACCCGCCTCCCATCCTTCAACCTGCATCCTGCTCGGCCGCGGATGGTGCCCTTAGCCTCGGCTTTCCTCTGCTCCAG